CCGGACCCGGATGCTAACTTGGGAACACCAAGAAGCTTTGTAGTGCCATCGACAAGTGATGAGAGCAGGACAGGTAATCGATCGACGTTGTTGGTAACCTCTCCGGTAACATCGGGCAATAGCTTACCATCCCAATGAACAATTGATTTTGAGGGAATATAGTCTTCTTTTATATGTGCTGCTGCTTGTTGACAACGAAGCTTGCGATGACGATGCATTGTGCTCTTGGAAAATACTGTGTCAGATGTCGGAACACTAGCTTCGTTGAATGCGGATGCAAATATCATTGTAGATTTTCTAATGCTGGTGTTCGTTCTGTCCAGCACTGCAGCAACTTTCGGTGATATGATGCTTCGTCTGCTATGTCGTGTTGCAGAATTTGTTTTGCTTGAGGATGCTGATTGGATGACAAATTCTTCATCAGGTTCTGCATCGTCACTGGAATCCCGACAAGTGGATGATGTCATTGAATGTGTGTCTGTGTCACTGTTAGAACCACCTACATCCAGTTGCTGTTCTATGTCTACTGCTGACTCTACACTTGAACCTGATGGTAACCTATGGTGACGGCACTGTGATGTAGCATCTTTTGCTGCATCACCAACATCCCTGATAAATTGTTTCTGACGCTCAGCAACTCGTTTTTCTTTAGCAGCAAGCTTTTTGTCCACAGTTTTGCACATTAGGTATTTTATATGTTTTCTCGCATTTATTACATTTTCTAATTAAGAATCACACAATCTCGACTCTAGTTAATGGTAGCAATGAGGTAAATATAAGTATTTTTAAACTTCATTTTATTCATATATGGCATGCAAAAACTGCAAGTTATTTGAGCCACGATTCGTCTGGATTTTTATGTTGGCCTAATACTGGAATTTTAAAAGCTCTTGGGGGACCTCTAAATGTTGTTCAAATGAGCTACAACTTCACCAATTCACTCATTGTACCCAAGAGAAACATTTCAGGGGGTGAGACACCATAGATTAAAAAAAAAAATTTTTCGGAGCATTTCTGGGACGCCCTAATTAAAAGTTTTTCACACCATTTCAACCATAATCAACACAGGCCAATATACATTAATTGGAAAAAGATGGTAGATGGCATCACCCAGGAGGTGTTTGCGAAATAGATGGGTTTTTAAATCGGTTTTAAAGGACTCCAGTGTCTGGCTGTTTCTGAGAACGACATGAAGGGCGTTCCAAATTGTTGGGCCAGCAAATGCAAAAGTGCGCTTTCCGTAAGTCTCAAGGCAAACACGCGGTATTGATATTTTGCCACTATCGGATGAGCGGAGCTGTCTAGTGGGTACATAAGGCGTCATGAGTGCTTTGAGATAGGACGGTGCCAGGTCATGTAAGCAGGGGTAGCACAAAGTTGCAATTTTGTACTCTATGTGAGCACGGACCAGCAGCCAGTGCAGCTCTCTCAGAAGAGTTTTAGCATGGTCGGATTTGCATTTTTGAAGAACAATGCGAGCCGCATTATTCTGTGCTCTTTGAATTTTATCCAGGAGCGTAGCTGGGAGACCCACCATGGGAGCATTGCAGTTTGCAGTAGTCCATGCAGGATAATACGAATGCAGACATCAGCCTCTTTAATGCTTTGAACGTTAGGAAAGGTCTGATAATCCTACGCAGCTCTAGAAAAATCGCCTTGCAAAGCATGTTAATGTGATTTTCCATAGTTAGTGTTCTGTCTAAGTAGGCACCTAGGTCTCACACTGTTTGAGCAAACTCAATCTGTATACCTGAGAGAGTAAGTGATGTTGTGTTTTTTAAAGATTTTTGTTTCTGAGCAGTGGCAATGGGGATTAGCTCATTCTTTTTATCATTCAATTTGAGCTGGTTTATGGTCATCCAGTGCTTAACTGACTCCACTGTCTTCTGTGTCATTCTAAGAAGTTGAGGGAACTGAGAGGGGATCACTGATTGATGAAGTTATGTATCGTCCGCGAACATGTGATATAGCATGTCAAACTGCTTGATCACTTCACCCAGTGGCTGAACGTACATAGTGAAAAGCACCGGTCCTAGGACCGAGCCCTGGGGTACTCCGAATTCAATTTTAGATGGCTTCGAGGTCAAGCCGTTTGAAATAACTGACTGGACCCGATTTGTCATATACGAGTGAAACCATCTCAGGACGGTATTGGTGAGACCGAAGTTTTTTGCAGACGCTGGAGAAGTATGCCGTGGCC